TGATGTCCTATTGGAAAAAATAGTTTCGCTTTATGAATATTTCGGGTTACGCACGGCCTTTAGGATCGAATTAAATTCGTGAACCGAGGTTCCACAGTATACTGATTAAATTTTAGAATTTTATGGCGAGAAAATATTAGCCCGGATAAAATTAAATGTTTAGTATAATTTCAAAAAGGAGCGTAAGTACATGCGAATCTGACTCACTGAAAAAGAGATAGGTCTTGCAAGGCTAACGTTCTAAACATCTATCAAGATCGGTAGAAATTTGAAATATATGAAAATAAAATAACCGTTGAATTGTGTCATCTTTCTGTCTTTCACTACTCAGATGCTTTATAAATGCTTGAAAGCTTATCTCGATATAAAAATGAAAGTGTAACTGGTAGAATATTCTTTTTTATTCTCGTTCATCCAAAGAAGACAGAGAGCCACGATATTTTCTCATGATTTAGAGTTTCAAAGAAAGGCTTTTTCGCAAAAAAAGACATTTTTAAAAACAAATTAAAACATTAACTTTCTAAAATTATAATGGTCTGTTACTGTCGTTACCCAAGTACACACGTCTATTAGGCCGGCTATCTTATCTCTATTGCAAACGCCTGTTCAGGCGCATCTGTGTTCAATACTCAGAGAGTCCACCTGCAGTTTATACCGTAGACATACTGAACGGAACTTAGTCACGGTTTCTGGAAGAGAGCAGATAATCTGGCATGATCAGCAGTTTGAACAACGTCAGTATGCTTAAAAGGTCGGTCATAAGGGGAGACGGTTTCCAGACTGTTAAGTCTAATCAGTTTCAGTCAACAGTTTTAAGTTTACAGGCACTATATAAATATGTCGCATGTTGATATCACCTCCCAGACTGATAGCATAAAGATATCACATTTGTGACAAATCCACGGTGAGTTTCGAACCCGGGTCTCACGCTCACGTTTTGAACCACTCAGCCACAAATTATGCTATATATGCCGTTAGTATATCTGACGATATTTATTATTTCTCTAGTTGCAAAATATAGAAGATATTTTCAATTCTGAAGAACATTCTGTAGATTAGCCGAGTTTCGTTTCTGTTTGCTTGCGGCGGTAGAAATATCTCTTTGATTCTCATAAAGTGAATATACTTTTCCCGCAGAATGAACCAGTGTAGTACCATTCCTATATAAATAGCGTATGGCACTACTTTCCAAGACTCTCTTTATCTCATCCTTTCCCATTTATGTATATATGTACATGCCAGAAGCATATAAGCCATATTTGAAGCACACATCTACTGGTTTCTGTAGAAAATAAAATTCAATAATAGGACTGCTATCTGTTTTATCATTTTGTTCATCTGAGATATCAAAAACTAGATTTGTATACACGAACGCATAAATATTTAAACACTGAACAGTTCACAACCCAACTTATTAATATCTGATTAAATAACGAAAGCATGGACAATTTTGCGAGAGTCTTTGTCAGGTTTAAAAAATTTCAGTAGACAGCCATATGAGTACCTGTCTAATAAGGTTTTTTTCAGTATTTTGCTGCAATAAATCTCTTTCTTATCAGTCATGAATTCCAAAATCGTTTCTATTTGGACCTGGTACAAAGATGTTTGCAGCATCCATGATATGTACCTACTCTTTATTGATGTTGGGTTGCGCAAAAAGGCACATTCTTCAAGATCAGTTTGCTAAAGAATACAATCAGATATTTCGCTAATATCCATGCTGCTGATACCATATTGTCTGTGTGCACCTCCAAAAATCTAGAAGACCATAACCTGGCAGCTAATTGCTTTTTTGACATAGTTTTAACAGTCCAATGTGGACAAATTAGCTTGTAAATTTCAGTGCCCCCAACACTAAACAACAAGACTTTGAATTAGCGGTTAACATGGGGGATATTGTTTCTCTCAAGGAGGCTCCAGGCTATTTTCCAATTCCAGTTTGGTTCATTATATTGACATATGCGAATGACCTTAGGGAAAATATGAATCCAACTCTTCTACTCCAGCTATGGATTAATTAGTAATGTATCACTAAACATTTATTTTCTCTTAAAAATAAGTCTGGCTTTAAATATGTTAAAGGTAGATAAACCATAGAACAAATCGATCAATCAATCTAACAATTTTCAGTAACGTAATATGATAAATATTTTAAGCATATATCGGGTGTGCCAATAACTTGGATCGATTTTAAGTGTGAATTAAATTTAAGCGTCCAATGATTTTTTTTCTTTCAGATTTAACAACTTAAATTTTTGTCAATTTCTACCCTGGAAAGATTAACAATCAAACAATGTGTTAATGTTATCGAATTCTATTACGAAAATGGACTTTCAGACAGAAATGCATTTCGTGCATCTGACGATTTATTGGTCAACATAATCGAACAACCGAGACTGCAAATGAAAACATTGTTCGTAAATTCAAACAAACAGGGTCCGTGGAAGATGTAAAAACACCACTGCGTGCCTTTCAGCTGAAAACATTGCTGCAGTGCACGAAAATGTGGCCGTAAATCCAGATACCTCTATTCGCCATCGCACACAGGAATCGAACCACTGCACAACAACGTTACATCGTATTTTGATAAAACATTTGTCTTTACACGCTTAAAAAATTCAATTGACACAATAACTGAAACCTGCTGACCATTTTGAGCGCCGTACATTCGTCAATTGGGTGAACGAGCAAAAACAAGCCGATGAAGATTTTTCGCAGAAAAAACCTCTTTAGTGATGAAGCCATCTTGGTGGATTCGTTAATAAGCAGAATTGTCGCATTTGGGCTGATAAAAATCCAAGGAAGATTTTTGAAAAGCCACTGCATCCACAAAAGATCACACTTCGGTGTGCATTTTCTTTGCTTTTGGAATCAATGAGCCGTATATTTATAAATTTGAACGTCCATTTTCATAATATGCTTCGTTAACTTTAACACGTTGTTTGATTGTTAAACTTCCCATGCTTGAAATTGCCAAAGACTTAAGTTGCTAAATCTGAAAGAAAAAGAAAAAATCATTAGACGCTTAAAATTACTTCACATTTAAAATCGGTCCAAATTATTGGAACTATATCTCACCATATAATATAATATATTTAAAAATGCAACATATTCATTAGCTTATGTCAAAATTTCGAATATTTCTTACATATATTTTATAGATCCTGCAAATATTGACGAGAAGTAAACCTTTCAAAAAATATATTTCATAATATAAATCAATAAAGACTTTGTTATATCTTGCACCAATATCAGAGAAAAGCCTAATATAATTTACTAATATTACTTTTTTTTTTATTGAAACAAATATTATAACAAAGATTTTCTTTATCAATCACTGTTTTTTCTCCCCTTTATCTTTGCTTCCTCTGCATTTGATGATAGGAATAAAAGAATATATACATTTTCTATTACTTTAGTTTAGGAGTAAGAATTTGCATCAAGATTCTGGGATGATCAAAACCGAAATATTGTACGTATAATTCGAACATATATACCGGGAAATAGGATTGACGTACACAAGGGATGTAAAGAAGAAATCGAATTATCAAAACAAAATTGAGTATTATCAGGTTTGTGCACCTTAGCGCCCCCTAACAGAAAGGTTTTCAAAGACATGAAAGCATAGTAATAAACTAATTTGTGTCTTTTTATAAGAATATAAGTTAGCCCATGGTTCCTGAAACATTTCGCATTCCACCGTCTTTAGTGCACAAGGAATTATTTTCGAAAACGCCCTAGGTGAGCAAAAAAGCAAAAAAAAACTGTATCTAGTTTTATATGGCTAGGCTAGTTCTTGTTATTGTTGTTGTTAATAATAATAATAATAATAATAATAATAATAATAATAATAATATGAAGAAGAAGATGAAATCTTAATGAGTACAGTCGACATACTAAGAAGAACTGTCCATGTAACGCTCGTGACGTTATGGGAGTTAGAAAACAAATCATGAAATATAGCCATAACGACACACCACTACTTGACTTTGGTCTTCCCGCAGACTTGGTAGGTAGTGTAGTGACCATAGCAGAAATCTAAAGATGATGATTATGATGATGATGATGATGATGATGATGATGATGATGACCATCATCATCATCATCATCATCATCCTGATAGCTCACGCTTTAAAGAAATACAGAACTTGTACTCACACATAAAGAAGGGCTTTATCTATGTAAAGAGATTTTTACAAAAATGATCTGTAGAAAATGTCATGAAGTCATTTCTGACCTTAGATCCCTGAAGGAAATCTGCATACAACATAACTCAAAGGAAATAATAATAATAATAATAATAATAATAATAATGATAATAATAATAATATGATGTTGAAACGAGATTTAAACTTGTCGAAAAGACATTTCTTCTGAAAGATGTTGCAGCACCAGCCGACAAAAATATATCCTTGCAAACCTTTGAGAAACAAGTACCTCAAGACAGAAATCGTTAGAATGTGTAATCGCAAGACAACGACAATAACCCTTGTTATTGGGGCATCAGGTAGACGATCAAAAAGTGCAAAAAAAATAAGCGGTTCAAATTCCTGGTTGTCCTAAGTTGTGTGAATTGCAAACATACCTTATTTATAAATACTTCTCACATTTTGCGGAGAATTCTCGCCGGGCAATAACCAAAATAATACATTTTTTAATCTACTTGACTGAAGGTATATCTCTCTGTGTGTTCAGATAAAAATAACTGATTGAAATTTAGGGGCAATACTACTGCACATATCAAAGGCAGATAACAGTAATATGAGTGATTAGTTTTATACGCTTATAAACCCTTTTCAGCTTATTTGAAGCCAGAAAATAGTTTTAGATTGTAAGAATGATTTCTTTTTTGACTTAATAATGGTTTAGTGATGCAAGTCTTAATAATTAAACCATAGCTGGAGAAGAAGCGGTGGATTCAGACATTTCCCAAAGTGAATCTTTTCAATTCAGCTCTACGATTAGGAAATTCGAGCCATTGCACCACCGGCACATCCGAGCTTACAGCACCTAGTATTCCCAAACGGTCACCCATCTATATACTGACCAGGTTCGATGTTGCTTAACTTCGGTGCTCGTACGGGAACCGATGTTTTAACGAGAAATAATAATAATAATAATCGAAGTTCGTCGAGCCAAATATAAATAAAAGAATTTGAAAAATAAAGTTTCTTTGTCATTTGTACGGCTTTGCTTAACTTTCGTTTCTTCGGAGAGAGCAAAAGTAAAAGTTACTGAGAGAGACAACAGACATGAATCAGTAGCGAATCATAATCGTCTACGACCCAGAAGATCATGGTAAATAAAATATTTTTTATACACCAATCTAATAATTCATCTCTAACGATGATAATCGATTTACAATGGAAGCGTCGAGTTTAGCATTGTTACTTTATAATTTGAATATTGTTTATAGCAATGTGGGAGGGGCAAATGATTATACATTCTACATTATAACTACATTTTTTATTGCCTAATTTTAGTACGAATTCAATCGCTTCCCCTATAGAGGTATGTCGGCATATAACTTAAAATTTTCGAATAACTTCCGTCGCCCTAAGATAATTTGTGACATATGGCTACACACGTTGAAAGGATTTAGGTTATCAAACGGATGAGCAAAAATGCATCATTTGTTGAGAAAGTAATATCACAGTCTTGATTAATCAATTTGCTTATATGCCTCTGAGGTTATCTACTATGATCATGCATTTGCTGCTATGGACATATGCTTTTTGTGTACTCAATGCAATCGTCAATTACAAGCATTTTGTAGAGAGAGAAAAGGCAAAGGAAAACTGCCATGCTTAATTATTCCCGATCCTGGCATTGTGTGGCAAATAACTAGACTGAGGAAAATACCTTTGGGCGATTCAGGTTTTATTCAAATCAAAAGGACACACGAGGTGCAAACAAAGATGGCGGCTTTTAAAACTTTTCTATGAAGGGGAAATAATCCCTTAATGACAACAGACAACTAGAATAATAATAATATTTTATCACAAGCACCACCGCCTCGGAAAAGTAAATAGGTGTAATGCACAGTGATAAAAAATATAAATAAAAAAAAACTGTGTCATTAAAGGTTTAAGCGAATAGGGTGTTTTACAACTTGACTAGAGTAACGCATAATTTGTGGGCTTATATGTCGTTTCGCAGAATCGTTCATAATTTATTTAATGGACAGTTTACGATCACTGTCTTTAGAGGACTGATTTTTTGGCTGGGTGGATATTGGTAATTCCATGGAAATGTCATTCTGTGGCAATTCAGCAAGGCTGCAGTCTCATTTTGAGACTATATGTTTAAGCGAGACAGTAGCCTCGTTACTATCTAATTTCCTGATGTGGGCATAAAATCGTTTTTCTTCTGGGAGTTCCACCTCATTGACCAGTGCTTCATGCCTGCTATTGCGGGGATACCGCTTCATCAATATTTTACGGGGGTGACTTAACCATGCGAGTAAGGTGGTCGCATTTGTTGATCGTCTGTTGAAGTTGAATAAAAATTCATGTGGCGTGCATTTAGTTGCCGAGCATAAAATTGAAACACGCAAAGCTTCAGACAAGACTTTATCTCAGTGAGACTCTGGAAGATTCTTGATTTTTAAATGATGTCAGAAGGAGTGGATGCTAGATCACGCCATTATACCTTTCTACTTGACGATTACTTGCTGGAATATAGGCAGTAGTTACAACTCCGTAATTGTGTAGGAATGGTTTTGTTTTTTTTGTTGTGAAATAAATAAGGATTACCTGTCAGTCTGGATGTAAGCAGACATGCCACATACGGAAAAAAGATTTTACAGGCAGCTATTTACAGTTTTAGCTTCCATATCTGAGCATGGGTAGGCAAACATGAATCTGGAAAATTAATCTAGGATGTTTAGCAGATAGTTGTTGCGAGATGAGAAAAGCAATGGATTCTTAAAGTCGATCAAAATTTAACTGGCGTTGATTAGGTGGTCATTAGATGTTTTGTGGAAATGTGGTTCACTTATGTTGAATATTTGGCAGTTGCCTGTCATTGAGCGGCTTTCTACAGTAGAGTATGGTAAGTTTTTATTTCGAACAAAGTGTATAATTTTGGTTACAACTGGGTGACGCAGAAATTCACGCAATGTTAACAGTTTGTTATCCGGGAAAGTTGCAAAACTGAATCGGGTGAGAGTTACCGCTGCTACATTCTCTTTTCCTTCACGATATTGGATGTCAAAACTAAAAGAAACAAGATTCATTCTCCAGCGCATATTTTTTTCCATTTTTTCCTGATTTTATTCATCTAGCATAAATCGCACAATTTTTTAAACAGTTTTTAGAATGAAGTGTCTATCAATTAAGCGGCGCTTCCATTCCTCGTTAGCATCAACTATTAGTTTAAATCACTGCCTTGCTGTGATCATCAATAAAAAAAACAACTGTTTTTCTTGGCTGAGTACGGCTGATACAGAGTTGTGTGATAGATCGTTTTCTACGACGAATCTTAGATTATCACTGATCGTTGTCAGACTGGCATATGTCAGGTTAGTTTTCGATGCCTGCAAGGCAAACAAAATCCCACCCACGTGTAATGGAAAGGTTTGGGTTAATTTTAATCATTTGATTATGTCAGAAAATTTCTTGATCCAACTTGCATAATATGCAAACATACCAATGATTCGTTTTAACGACTTCGGTTTCTGGTGGTGGCAGGGAGATTGATAATGCTTTTGGATATGCAGTGACAAAAGTGATCAATAAGCTGGGTATAGTATTTACATTTCTCTTCACTGGATATCCACTTGTCGAGTTTGGAAGCCTTTTGGAAATATTGATGATTGACATCCTGTTTTTTTTCCGAAGTGGTGACACAGATTATAAGATTGTTATGCATCCTGTAAATCATGTTTCTTGATGAGCTCATCAATCTTTCTTTGGAAACAAGCAGTCTCATTTGTCACATCAAACGGTATCCTGGTAAATTGGTAAAGTTAAGTCGCAGATTGAAAAAGCGTTTTAGGCCTGTCGTTGGGATGCAAAGGGATTTGATGGTATTAACTTTTTAAATTTATTGTACTAAAGTACTTGTAGTAGGCTAGCTGACTGATGTTAATGTTCGGCATTAGGTATGCATCTAGCAGTGTATATTTTTGACCATTTGGGAATAGTCAATGACCATTCCCTTTTTATTGTTTCCGTCCTCTTTCACGAATAATGGTTCTGCCCTCCATAGTGATAGGCTTGGTTTAATGATCTCTTTTTCAGTAAGCATTGTGTCTCTGAATCAATGAATGAAGTGTTGGTCTAGTTTTGGAAATTTTTTGGTTGCAATGGGTTTGCAATTTTCAGATAAATTAGCAAATTGTGTCGGAGGGTTGACATTAATAGTTGTAAAGGCGCAGAAGGTTAATGTTGCTTTGTTGTCACCATATTCGATGACAACACTATTGTGCTGCTCTTGGAAATAAGTTACAAGTATTATATCAGTACACAAATCATTGATTACATGTATATAGATGAACATGTGCGTACTTATGGCTGAGAAGTTTGAGGCCCAAAACACAATATTCGGCAATTTCTCTACTCCTGCAGCCATGCGAATTAATGCCGAGATTGGGTATTGTTTTAATTAGAGCTTTTTGGCGACTTTGTGGTTTATGAAGCTTATGTCGATGCTTCCACTGTCATTTGAGGCTTTCAGTTTGTGTCTCTTCATGAATAAATTAGTGGATACCTTAAATCCAGATTCAGTAGTCAGCAGAATAAATACTAGATAGTGTGGTGCTGTTATTGATCGACATTGAGTAGACTGCATCGACAGTTGCAGCTGACTGAGAACTGAACTGGTTTGAAAAATACAGTTTTGCAAAATGTCTGCTTTTGGGACACTTATGGCGGGTCATTTGCCTAGCAGGACATTTGCTTCTTGAATGACATAGATTTAAAAAAAAAATAGCATTGTAATTTTGTTGCAGCTAATGTGCCTTCTGCAGATGGTCTCTCTTCTTTGGCACCTGCACTCATGGATAAATGAAACAGCACTTTTTGATCAAGGTCACGGGATTGAGCCTGACTATAATCATTCTGCAAGTTCAACGCTCTATTCGCTAGGAGTCTCTGTTGAATAAGTTTAGAGTTCAGACCGTTGATGAATACATCACGAATGGCTTCCTCTCTGTAGGCTTCTGCAGTTACATATTTGTAGTTGCAGTCTTTACACAACTCGCGAAGGTGTTTGTAGGAATTAGTTGATGGATACATCAGGTGTTGATTTGTGATGAGGTGAAGCGTAAAAATATCGTTCGATGGCTTAATTTTAGATTTTAGATTTTCTAGAGTTTGTATGGCCTCCTCGTATGTTTTACAGCTTTCTTTGTAATCATACACTGTGATGTCTATGTAGCTTAACAAGACACTGAATCTATCCAGCATTACATCAAACGTCTGAATAGCGTCCAAGTAATTGACGAACTTCCGGTACCAACATTTTCAGTTTTTATCGGCGATTGGTGCATTGGGGTGCTGATTGAAACTTTTGCAGTTTTAATACTTTGTCCATTTCGAATAATTTAGACTTGAATAAATTGTGATGAATAACATGACTGAAGAAAATATCTTTGGGCGACTCAGGTTTTATTCAACTCAAAAGGATGTACGAGGTGTAAAAAAGATTTTTAAAAATCTTTTTTAAGAATGCCTTAATAAAGGCAGATAACTAGAATAATACTATTATTTTACCACTCTTTTAAAAACAATTTTATGTTGATAATTATTTGTTTTTTATTGAAATACTACGCCCTCTAATGATATGTGGTGCAGCTAATAAATATCGACCCAGAAAATGGAATCGTAGAACCGAGTTAAAATTCCGGCATATTCTGTCGGATTTACTCTCACACAAATAAAGATGCGAAAATAATTAATCTATCTCTTCTCAGCCACGAATGGGTTACAGAATCGACGTTATCTCTTTAGCTATTGGAGAGGACCTACGAAAGAATATTTCCAAGCTGGATACTGAGAACTTTTAACCATAAATATAGTAAACCTTAAATGTATATTTTATCATAAGTAAAAATGAAAATAAGAGCCAATGTGATTTCTATGCCCACACAGACACA